AGGGTTACGTCCTTAGCTGGCTAATAAGCTACATAATAAGCTACATAACAAGCTAAGCTAACAAGCACACAAACACCTGCTAACGGGATTAACATGTATAATATTATCATTTTACTCACCGAAAAAAGCTGAGAGTAGACTTCTTGGAAGGTCTGTTAGTACATTCAAGCGCACAGCACGACATTTTAATTGTCTGGTATTTGTAACAATATTCCCTAAAAGGCACAATCACCACGAACACGGCTAAAGGGTCAAGTACAGTAACTACAACTAACTAACGTTGTAGCCTAGCAGAGTGGACAAATTGCTGTTAGCTGACAGTGAGGCACGTACCTGTCCATCAAAGTGACCACGCCCTAATTTATGCAAAAACTTTAAGACCTAATATAAATAAAAGGGTCGCGTTAGAAAACAATTCACTCACAGATTCATAATCACGAAGGTGGAATCTAACTATATACATAATAAAATGTATTGGAGCCAGGGCTAGACGTTTTTTTTCTGCTGTGAAATTGGGCATTTTAACATTGGGCTCTATGGAAATTGCTCCTTTCTGCAGTCATCGCCTATCGGCCAATATATGAACTGCAGTTTGTGGCACTTCCGTATTGGCGTCCCGGCTCTTCCCCTGAGTTTGCCGCTTGGTTGATGAAGAAGACGAAGTAAGCTAGGTAGCCAATATAAGGCTTAGTCATCTTGCCAAATAGTGAGCCTGTGTTGATGTATGGAAATTATGTTAGAACTGGTTTATAAATGGTTCTTAATGATTAATAAAATGTTTACAACCTAATTATGAACCTAATTATGAACCTAATTATGAACCTAATTATGAACCCTTTATGAACCCTTTATGAATCCTTAAGGGTCTTTTTGTAAAGGTTACCAAGTTTCTGGTAAATCTCTGCTTGTTGTAAACAATCCCATTATTTTCCATTACTACACGACACTGTACTTTCCAAGCAATAACCCTGTGTTCAATATCTTTATTAATATTATTACACTGCGCAGTTACCGTACATTTGTATTTCTACTTTTATATTTTCAACTTTTTTAATGCTATTTTATTTCATTTTGAGATGTTTACATTTTGGATTGTTGATTTCTAGTCTTTTAGTTTCTCTAATGTACAGTCACCTGTCTGTCTCTCACCTGTCTGTCTCTCACCTGTCTGTCTCTCACCTGTCTGTCTCTCACCTGTCTGTCTCTCACCTGTCTGTCTCTCACCTGTCTGTCTCTCACCTGTCTCTCTCTCACTTGTCTGTCTCTCACCTGTCTCTCTCTCACCTGTCTGTCTCTCACCTGTCTGTCTCTCACCTGTCTGTCTCTCACCTGTCTCTCTCTCACCTGTCTGTCTCTCACCTGTCTGTCTCTCACCTGTCTGTCTCTCACCTGTCTGTCTCTCACCTGTCTGTCTCTCACCTGTCTGTCTCTCACCTGTCTGTCTCTCACCTGTCTGTCTCTCACCTGTCTGTCTCTCACCTGTCTCTCTCTCACTTGTCTGTCTCTCACCTGTCTCTCTCTCACCTGTCTGTCTCTCACCTGTCTCTCTCTCACCTGTCTCTCTCTCACCTGTCTGTCTCTCACCTGTCTCTCTCTCACATGTCTCTGTCTCACCTGTCTCTCTCTCTCACCTGTCGGTCTCTCACCTGTCTCTCTCTCACCTGTCTGTCTCTGACCTGTCTCTCTCTCACCTGTCTGTCTCTCACCTGTCTCTCTCTCACCTGTCTGTCTCTCACCTGTCTCTCTCTCACCTGTCTGTCTCTGACCTGTCTCTCCTCTCACCTGTCTGTCTCTCACCTGTCTGTCCTCCTCACCTGTCTCTCTCTCACCTGTCTCTCTCTCACCTGTCTCTCTCTCATCGTCCCTGGTCTCTCACCTGTCCTCTCTCTCACCTGTCTGTCTCTCACCTTGTCTCTCTCTCACCTGTCTCTCTCTCACCATGTCTCTCTCTCACCTGTCTGTCTTCTCACCTGTCCTGTCTCTCACATGTCTCTCTCTCACCTGTCTCTCTCTCACATGTCTCTGTCTCTCACCTGTCTGTCTCTCACCTGTCTGTCCTCTCACCTGTCTCTCTCTCACCGTCTGTCTCTCACCTGTCTCTCTCTCACCTGTCCTGTCTCTCACCTGTCCTCTCTCTCACCTGCTGTCTCTCACTGTCTCTGTCTCAACCTGTCTCTCTCTCTCACCTGTCTGTCTCTCACCTGTCTCTCTCTCACCTGTCTTCTCTCTCACCTGTCTGTCTCTCACCTGTCTGCTCTCTCACCTGCGTCTCTCTCTCACCTGTCTCTCTCTCACCTGTCTGTCTCTCACCTGTCTCTGTCTCACCTGTCTCTCTCTCTCACCTGTCTGTCTCTCACCTGTCTCTCTCTCACCTGTCTCTCTCTCACCTGTCTGTCTCTCACCTGTCTCTGTCTCACCTGTCTGTCTCTCACCTGTCTCTCTCTCTCACCTGTCTGTCTCTCACCTGTCTCTCTCTCTCACCTGTCTGTCTCTTCACCTGTCTCTCTCTCACCTGTCTCTGTCTCTCACCTGTCTCTCTCTCTCACCTGTCTGTCTCTCACCTGTCTCTCTCTCTCACCTGTCTGTCTCTCACCTGTCTGTCTCTCACCTGTCTCTCTCTCACCTGTCTGTCTCTCACCTGTCTGTCTCTCACCTGTCTCTCCTCTCTCTCTCCTCTCTCTCTCACCTGTCTCTCTCTCACCTGTCTCTCTCTCACCTGTCTCTCTCTCTCACCTGTCTGTCTCTCACCTGTCCTCTCTCTCCACCCTGTCTCTCTCTCTCACCTGTCTGTCTCTCACCTGTCTCTCTCTCACCTGTCTGTCTATCACCTGGTCCTCTCTCTCAACCTGTCTCTCTCTCTCACCTGTCTGTCTCTCACCTGTCTCTCTCTCACCTGTCTGTCTCTCACCTGTCTCTCTATCACTGTCTCTCTCTCTCACCTGTCTGTCTCTCACCTGTCTCTCCTCACCTGTCTCTGTCTCACCTGTCTCTCTCTCTCACCTGTCTGTCTCTCACCCTGTCTCTGTCTCACCTGTCTCTCTCTCACTGTCTGTCTTACCTGTCTCTCTCTCACCTGTCTTCTTCACCTGTCTGTCTCTCACCTGTCTCTGTCTCACCTGTCTGTCTCTCACCTGTCTCTCTCTCTCACCTGTCTGTCCTCTCACCTGTCTCTCTCTCACCTGTCTCTCTCTCACCTGTCTCTCTCTCACCTGTCTGTCTCTCACCTGTCTCTCTCTCACCTGTCTGTCTCTCACCTTTCTGTCTCTCACCTGTCCTGTCTCTCACCTGTCTCTCTCTCACCTGTCTGTCTCTCACCTGTCTCTCTCTCTCACCTGTCTCTCTCTCACCTGTCTCTCTCTCACCTGTCTGTCTCTCACCTGTCTCTCTCTCACCTGTCTCTCACCTGTCTGTCTCTCACCTGTCGTCTCTCACCTGTCTGTCTCTCACCTGTCTGTCTCTCACCTGTCTGTCTCACCCTGTCTCTCTCTCACCTGTCTGTCCTCTCACCTGTCTCTCTCTCACCTGTCTCTCACCATGTCTTCTCTCTCACCTGTCTGTCTCTCACCTGTCTCTCTCTCACCTGGTCTCTCTCTCTCACCTGTCTCTCTCTCACCTGTCTCTCACCTGTCTCTCTCACCTGTCTGTCTCTCACCTGTCTGTCTCTCACCTGTCTCTCTCTCACCTGTCTCTCTCACCTGTCTCTCTCTCACCTGTCTGTCTCTCACCTGTCTCTCTCTCACCTGTCTCTCTCTCACCTGTCTCTCACTGTCTGTCTCACCTGTCTCTCTCTCTCACCTGTCTGTCTCTCACCTGTCTCTCGCTCACCTGTCTCTCTCTCTCACCTGTCTCTCTCTCACCTGTCTGTCTCTCACCTGTCTCTCTCTCACCTGTCTGTCTCTCACCTGTCTGTCTCTCACCTGTCTCTTTCTCACCTGTCTGTCTCTCACCTGTCTCTCACCTGTCTCTCACCTGTCTGTCTCTCACCTGTCTCTCTCTCACCTGTCTCTCTCTCACCTGTCTCTCTCTCACCTGTCTGTCTCTCACCTGTCTCTCTCTCACCTGTCTGTCTCTCACCTTTCTGTCTCTCACCTGTCTGTCTCTCACCTGTCTCTCTCTCACCTGTCTGTCTCTCACCTGTCTCTCTCTCCCTGTCTCTCACCTGTCTCTCTCTCACCTGTCTGTCTCTCACCTGTCTCTCTCTCACCTGTCTGTCTCTCACCTTTCTGTCTCTCACCTGTCTGTCTCTCACCTGTCTCTCTCTCACCTGTCTGTCTCTCACCTGTCTCTCTCTCACCTGTCTGTCTCTCACCTGTCTGTCTCTCACCTGTCTCTCACCTGTCTGTCTCTTCTCACCTGTCTCTCTCTCTCACCCTGTCTCTCTCTCACCTGTCTGTCTCTCACCTGTCTGTCTCTCACCTGTCTCTCTCTCTCACCTGTCTGTCTCTCACCTGTCTCTCTCTCACCTGTCTGTCTCTCACCTGTCTCTCCTCTCACCTGTCTGTCTCTCACCTGTCTCTCTCTCACCTGTTTGTGCTCTCACCTGTCTGCTCTCTCACCTGTCTTCTCTCTCACCTGTTCTGTCTCTCACCTGTCTGTCTCTCACCCTGTCTCTCTCTCACCTGTCTGTCTCTCACCTGTCTGTGTCTCACCTGTCTCTCTCTCTCACCTGTCTGTCTCTCACCTGTCTCTCTCTCACCTGTTTGTCTCTCACCTGTCTGTCTCTCACCTGTCTCTCTCTCCCACCTGTCTGTCTCTCACCTGTCTGTCTCTCACCTGTCTGTCTCTCACCTGTCTCTCTCTCACCTGTCTGTCTCTCACCTGTCTCTCTCTCACCTGTCTGTCTCTCACCTGTCTCTCTCTCTCACCTGTCTGTCTCTCACCTGTCTCTCACCTGTCTGTCTCTCACCTATCAAGTACTTATCTAATCTTACTGTATGTATCTTAGTTATATATTGAAGTATATGAACTAGAGGCACAGAAAACAAATAAGACAACATGTGTTACTGAAACAGGACCTCCATTTTGAAAGGGCTTTAATGCACTTCCTCTCGTGCTGAACACACATATAAAAATATAAACAGTTTTTAAACGAATGGTGAATACAAAACACAACAACAACAACACGCTTCAGGGACAGTTATTCATTAAATAAACAGACACATATTATATAACTAATATATATATTCATGATCAGCTGGGAGCACCTGCGTCACGTGCTTTTCAATAAAAAACACTGATGAGGACATAAGGTTATCAAATAACACACACACTTTGGAAGTTAGTGACTCCCGGGAAACATATCACACACACACACACACACACACACACACACACACACACACACACACACACACACACACACACACACACACACACACACACACACACACACACACACACACACAGTGCTGATAGAAGGCCTTCACCCAGTATCTAATATTTTCCTCCTAAAATTCGTCTTACTACTCAAGTGGGGACCAAACTAAATATCCCAACAATGTAATGGTCCTCACAAAGGTAGCAAAGCAAACACACACACACACAATGAGTCAGAATGAGGTTTAAGATAACAGATATATAACTTTCCATTTTATTACACACACAAATGGAATGTGTGTGTGTGTGTGTGTGATGAATCCATAATGAAGGCACCCCTTAGCTGCAAAATGCTAACGTGTTAAGTATAAAATGTCCAGTTTTCGGTCACTGTGAAGTCCTGAGTGTCTGCAGTGTGTGTCTCAGCTTCCTGTTCCTCCTCCTCTGCGCCTCCTCCTCTCTCATTAACCTCCCCTCCTCCTCCCTCAGCTCACAGATGAACTCCGTCGCGGTTTTCAGGATCAAAACCTTCGCTGCCTTCTCGTTGTTGGCGACGGCCGGCGTCTCTTCCCTCAGAGCCGAGAAGCTTCTCTTCAGATCGCTACGGCGATTCCTCTCCAGGACGTTGTGAGTCCGTCGCCGGGCGTGAAGATCCTCGCCGGCTTCGACTGATAACAATAAGAAGACCACAGAACAAGATGTTTAGTAATTACAGTTCGGAAACGAATGACAGAATAATAAAAGAATAATAAAGAAACAATAGTGTGGGGGGCCGCAGACCCTCTGACTGACCCAGTTTAGAGACAGGATGTCGGGGGGGTTGCGGGGCGGCGTAGTTGTGCTGCTGGATGTCGACGTTACAGCGTTTCAGGATCAAGGGGTTCGACCGCTGTGACGTTTTTCGCCTCTCCACCGTCACCACGTCGATCTCTTCCTCCTCTTCCTCCTCCTCTTCCTCCTCCTCCTCTTCCTCCTCCTCTTCCTCTTCTTCTTCTTCTGGGAAAAATTAAGGAAAATATTCTGGAGTTAGAGCGCTGAAATAAAACGGTATGAGCAGAAGAGATTTTAACGTTTTGTTCTAGGACATAAAATACGTCAATAAATACATCACTGGTGGATTTAAGAACTGAGGATGCTAACAAGAGTCTAAATGAGCCCAACATTAGCCACCTTTAGCTTAGCGGTGGTGACGTGAAGTCATGTGACCGTGCTGTAGTTCCTTGATAGCCCAACATTAGCCACCGTTAGCTTAGCGGTGGTGACGTGAAGTCATGTGACCGTGCTGTAGTTCCTTTATAGCCCAACATTAGCCACCTTTAGCTTAGCGGTGGTGACGTGAAGTCATGTGACCGTGCTGTAGTTCCTTTATAGCCCAACATTAGCCTCCTTTAGCTTAGCGGTGGTGACGTGAAGTCATGTGACCGTGCTGTAGTTCCTTGATAGCCCAACACTAGCCACCTTTAGCTTAGCGGTGGTGACGTGAAGTCATGTGACCGTGCTGTAGTTCCTTTATAGCCCAACATTAGCCACCGTTAGCTTAGCGGTGGTGACGTGAAGTCATGTGACCGTGCTGTAGTTCCTTTATAGCCCAACATTAGCCACCTTTAGCTTAGCGGTGGTGACGTGAAGTCATGTGACCGTGCTGTAGTTCCTTTATAGCCCAACATTAGGGGCTAATACGCGTCTATTTGCATCTCTGCATCGACTTTATATGTAATTACACCACGCAAAAAATGTGCTTTGCGTCTGTCGTGAACGCACCTTGACTATTGAGTATAACTCTTTCAAAATAAAAGCATGCTGCTCACCTGATTCGCTGTCGCTGCTGCTGAGAGGCGGGGTCTCCAGACACGGTTCTGATGGCGCCTCCTTCTCTGTCAGCGGTTTGAAGGGAAACACCTCGGAGGGATCGATGCAGTTATTAGACTCCCTGCTGTCAGACCCTCTAATGTCAGACTCCTTGATGTTAGAGTCAGACCCCCTGATGTTAGAGTCAGACCCCCTGCTGTCAGAGCCCCTGCTGTCAGACCCCCTGCTGTTAGACTCCTTGCTGGTCGTAGTAGAGGATTCGCGGCGATTCCTGAGCGCCACGAGCCTCGCGGACACCGCCTGCTCCAGCTTGTTAGCGGCGGAGAAGCTGCTGCTCCACATGCAGTCCTGGATGATGAAAGACTGCAGGAAAGTGTCTCGGTCGTCATCCAGAAGTTCAGTGACGGCCTCCAGGTGATCCGCGGCGTTCAGAGAGGCGTCGGACAGCGAGGGTCTCCTTCTGGGAGACAGTGGAGGAGTAGGAAGTAACTCAAACTTCTTCCATATGTCCTCTCCGTAAAAGTCCTCCACTTCTTCCTCCTCACCGTCCAGGAAGTAGGGCTGCACCGTGTCGTAGTCGTAGTCGTAGTTTCCTTGAAACATCGGTAGCACCGGCGGCATTATGGCTGCTGCATGAGAGGACACAAAACAGGAAGTTAGAGTTCTAATTCAAACATTAACACACTTTATTGTATTTTATTTAACAAGCTGCATTGAGTGTATTCTTTTAAAGGTCACCTATTATGCAAAATCCACTTCTTCATGTCTCTTCTTCATCAACATGTGTCCCCTCTGTGTAAAGAGACTCAAAGATTCTCTCTCTTTTTGTCCTGATCCATTTCTATAAAAACCTGTCTGAAAATGAGCTGATCAGATTTTGGCCACTTTATGATGTCATAACGATGTGTTGGCTTGTGTAACCATTAGCCAATCAGCAACCAAGGTAACCCCCCCCCCCACCTTATCACCTGAATCTCCTCCTAGAGCACCATTGAGTTATTTTAAACCAAGTATCTCTCAGAGGGGCGTGGGGAGGGGCTCCTTATTTTCATCTAAAGTAACAGACAGAGAATCAGCACTTTGGAAACAGGGCTGAAACAGAGGGGATTATGGGATGCTGCAATGATCTGTTTGGTGTTTCAGCCAATCAGAGACAGGTTCTGGATATATCTGAGACCTGTAATACATTGATGACAAACAGTATAATAGGGGACCTTTAAGGTTAATCTGTAGGTATATTTTAGCTAATTTTGAGATATTCTCCCTATTAACCCATTGAGAGGCTGAAAACAGCATTTGTATCAGAATAAGTAACAATAATTAACAACACAAAACTCCCTTCAAGAAACAGCCAATTAAGAATGTATTACGTAAAAGTGTAAGGTTAAAACTATAGAATAAGACTCACATACAAAGATTAATTATCAATAGAGTTCATTCTACAATTCGGCTTTAAAAAACAACAAAAAACACTTTTAGAAAATAGGTCAACAACAACATTTAGTATGACAGGTTCAAAGACCAAGATTAGCTGTAAAAACATGAAAATGTAACTTAATACTCTAAAATGACAAATTTAAGTAACAGCTAACAATATAAAGTGTATGTTTAGTGTATTAACTAATACCAGGGTTAAATTCGGCATACATTTTAGATTAATGTGGTGATTAATTATCCCATTGCAGAGTGCCAAAAGACAGAATGTCAGAATAAAGTTGACAGTACAGTAGCGACACAAAACCCCCTTCAAGACACACTAAATTAAGGGTTTATTGTGTTAATATTAAAGGTTAAAACGATCAAATAAGACTCACATGCAAAGATTAGTTCTCCATAGAGTCTATTATACAATTCGGCTTGAAAAAACCACAACAAAATACTTGTTAAAAAATGTCAACAATAACATTTAGCATGACAGGTTCAGAGACGCAAGATTCTGCTGTAAAAACATGAAAATGTAACTTAATACTCTAAAATTATAGTTTTAAGTATCAGCTAACAAACTAAAAGTCATGTGCAGTGTATTAACTAATACCAAGGTTAAATTCTTTTTAGATTAATCTGGTGATTAATTATTCCCGTCATGACCAACTCACCGTTATGACTCCTAGAATAAAGTTGTGCAGATGTGAAAAAAAGATGTCCAGATGTTTCAGTGAGTGAATGTTAAATCGTCCTTGTGCATTTATTTATCCAACAATGCAAGTGTTTATATGTAGAATTCTCTCAATTACGAAGTTAAAAACTACACTTGTTAACGCTGCGTTGTCTCAGAGTGAATCAACTCAAGCAGCTGCATCCAGACATTTAATACTCCGTTTGTTACTACATCCGCACACATGGCAACTTTATGTGAGCTATGTTGTCCCCAAAAAGATTAGTTAGTGGTTAAGTGGCACCGTGATAATTTAATTAAACACTTTCTATGTGAGTAAGAGTCATTTTTTGGGCTAGATTTGAGGTTAAAATTATCAAGAACATGCGTTTAAAACAGGGTCTGCTTTACGCGGATGTGCAGTGAAGTGATGTAAGGGGGTGATGCGGTGCTAACAGTAAATGATGGCATGAAGTTCTGGGAACTCTGCTAAGTCATGGTTAAATAAAAATAAATAAAAAGGCTCATTTTGAGGAATTAAATGTAAATAAAATAACTAAATACAATTCTAGAAAAAATACAGAAAATAATATAAAGAAAAATATTAATATAAATGAATGAGAAACCCAGAATTAAAATACACAAACAAATCAAAATACCATGAAATGACCCTACAATTAAATTCATACAAATGAAAAGAAAAAGAGAATTCAGAAAGTGTAATAAAATAATAAAATAATGACCACAAAAATAATAAACACAAAATAGTTTAAGAACAAAATAAAAAGCACATTTTGATTTAAATTAAAACATAAAGAAATAAAATAACCTCAAACATAATCAAACGATTATTTATTTAAACATTTAATAAATTGATTAAAGATATTATTCATTACACCGCCCTCTGGCTGTACATGTGTTATCAACACCCAACACTATCCTATTTAAAGAAGGGTCACCAGTGTTTCTGTTATGTTATCATTATGTGTTGCGGGCTTTATATATACAGTCTATGGTTGCGGGTTACTGCTGGTGCGTGCGGAAACAGCGCTCCCCTGTGGTCAGTTACAGGAAGTGCATGTTATGATGTTTATGGTCGCTATGACGACATGAAGATCTTTATTTTGCAGGCTCAAAAAACACAGTGAAATTTAGGGATTATAAAACTAAATATAAACACAAGAGTACATGACAAGTATTACTTCTGGTATTGTTGTTTCCACTTATTCAAATACTGAAAATGACCACAAACAATAATACAATCATGTAAAAAATGAGATTGCACAAATAACATGTAGGCCTATCATCATCATCAGTTAGCGTACTCCTTTTCCACCGCATTAAATATATTTATTGAACGTATGGATGCGTGTAGATTGTAGATTTGTAATTATTTTGATGTGTATACTAAAGCTGCCAGACAGACAGAAATAGTGGTGTAAATTAAATACTCTAGTAGGCTAAATGTTTTTCTTTGGTTAGTCAGAATTATGCTGTAATATAATGATAAAATAATACAAATTATACGTTTATTCCCTGAGTAATACACACGGCACTGAACCACACAACTGAAAAACAACTTTAACGTTCATGATTTTAATAATTTCACAATCTGCAAGTGTTAAAAAAAATACATGTAGATTTATTTCTGAGGGAGAGTGACTATAATAAAAGTGACAAAGCGGATCATTTGATTCACGTCTGTAAATATGTTAAAGTGGTTACGTAATAGAACTACAAGTCCCACAGTCTTAATTATCTCAAAGGGTCTGAATATCTCAAAGGTTGTGGTGACTGATGTTGCACTCTCTGATCATTCCTGTGTTTTCTTTGAGAGCTCTATTTCTGTTCACAAAAATGTTCAGAAAGAGGTAACCACAAAGCGATATTTAACTGAAAATACTAGGGAAATGTTTACTCATAATTTCTCATCCACACTTGCCCCTGCTAACATCTCAGTAAATGAGCTAGTAGATCATTTTAATTCAAAAATTAAAAATGTTATAGATACCATTGCTCCAACTACGGTAAAGGAAGTGATTAGCAAGAAAATATCTCCATGGAGAAAGGCCATGACCGTGAGAACAGAAAAAAGAGAGTGTCGAAAAGCTGAACGTAGGTGGCGAAAAACAAATCTCCAGGTTCACTTTGAAATCTATAAAGAGAGACTTGGCCTTTATAATTTGGAATTGAAAAACGCACGACAGTCTTTCTTCTCTGACATCATTACCAAAAACAAAAACAACGCACGTGCCTTGTTTGCTACCGTCGACAGACTAACTAACCCCCCAGTGTCAGTAGCCTCTGAATTTCTATCCACCAGGGCGTGCAATGATTTTGCCTCCTTCTTCACTGACAAAATTCAGAACATTAGACAAGCAGTCAGTGCCTCTACATCAGGTACAGCAAATGTTTTGTCCCTATGTCCACCTAATATCAATTCAAACACCATGACACAATTCCATCAGATTAATGGTAAAAACTTAGAGGACATTATTCAACTTCTGAAATCCTCCTCCTGCTGCCTTGATATTATTCCAACAGGATTTTTCAAAGATGTTTTTCATTGCATGGCCTCAGATCTACTTCTGTATAGTAAACACATCTCTTCACTCAGGTATTTTTCCAGAGGCCCTGAAAACTGCAGTCATTAAACCGCTCTTAAAAAAGAATAATCTAGATGCCTCAGTAATGAACAATTACAGGCCAATATCAAACCTGCCATTTCTAGGTAAAATCATTGAAAAAGTAGTATTTCAACAGTTGAGTTACTTCTTGCATTTAAATAACTGTTTGGATGTGTTCCAGTCAGGATTTCGTCCAAACCACAGCACTGAGACTGCTCTTGTAAAGGTCTTCAATGACATCCACTTAAACACAGACAGTGGCAGAACTTCAGTGTTAGTATTATTAGATCTCAGTGCTGCATTTGACACTGTTGACCACAACATATTACTAGACCGACTAGAAAACTGGGTGGGACTTTCGGCAACAGTTCTAAATTGGTTTGAGTCCTACTTAAAGGACAGAAAAAACTTTATTTCTATAGGTAAATACACATCTGAGTTGACAAATATGACATGTGGGGTACCTCAAGGCTCCATCTTGGGGCCTCTTCTCTTTAACATCTACATGCTACCACTGGCTCAGATAATGAAAAACAACAAAATAAGTTACCATAGCTATGCGGATGACACACACATTTACGTAACAATTTCACCAGGAGATTATGCTCCAATTCAAACACTGAGTAAGTGCATTGAACAAATCAATGACTGGATGTGTCAGAACTTTCTCCAATTAAACAAAGATAAAACTGAGGTAATGGTTTTTGGAGCCAAGGCAGAACGTATAAAAGTTAGCGCTGAGCTTCAGTCTGCAATGTTCAAAACAACAGATAAAGCCAGAAATCTAGGTGTAGTCATGGACTCTGACCTGAGTTTCAACAGTCACATTAAAACAGTTACTAAATCAGCCTACTATCACCTAAAGAACATATCTAGGATTAAAGGACTAATGTCACAGCAGGATTTGGAAAAACTTGTCCATGCTTTTATCTTCAGTAGACTCGACTACTGCAATGGTGTCTTTACAGGCCTCACTAAAAAATCTATTAGAAAGCTGCAGCTAATTCAGAACGCCGCTGCTCGAGTCCTCACTAACACTAAGAAAGTGGATCACATCACTCCTGTTCTGAAGTCTTTACACTGGCTTCCTGTGTGTCAAAGAATAGATTTCAAAATATTGTTGCTGGTTTATAAAGCTTTGAATGGTTTAGGCCCAAAATACATGTCTGACCTACTGCTAAATTATGAACCATCCAGAACCCTCAGGTCTTCAGGGACTGGTCAACTTTCTGTCCCCAGAGTCAGAACTAAACATGGTAAAGCAGCATTCAGTTATTATGCTCCGAATATCTGGAACAAACTCCCAGAAACCTGCAGGTCCGCTGCAACTCTTACTACTTTTAAATCCAGGCTGAAGACTTTTCTTTTTGCCGCTGCTTTTAATTGAACTATTCACATCTTAAACTGCACTGTAACTTTTAACTTTTATCCATGTATTTTTTCTTTTAATGTTTATTTTATTATCTTTCCTTTTTAATGACTGATTTTAAATGCCATTTTTAAAATGTCTTCCATTTTTGTAAAGCACTTTGAATTACCTTGTGTTGAAAGGTGCTATATAAATAAACTTGCCTTGCCTTGCCTTGCCTAACGTCATGACGTAGTTATAGCAACGGAAAAGGGAGAAGAAAAATACAGCCGCTTCTGTGTTGTTCCTTTATTTACTAAAGAACACATAAGAACATCATATGTTTTATATACAAACAAGTGGACATCAGGGGTAGACACATACATTAATACAAAATACATACAATAAATAAATAACGAACAAAACGAAACAAAAATCGTTCTGGTGACTTCTCTACTCAACCAAAAGTCTCCGCAGCGTGTTGCATTCTGGTACCTGTAGTCAATACAATCTTAACGTTCAACATTTTAATCGTTTAACAATCTATACATGTTTAAAACATATGTTCCCTCTTGTTTTCAATGATAGTGTGGTGCCGAGAGACGGGAGTCGGAGGCGGGGTATCAAATGAACAAGCTAGACTTTTATTTTGCATCTGAACTTCATGTCAACAACAACATGCACCAGGAGAAGAATACCGGCGGAACTAGAAAGACCGCCTCACTCAAATGTCCGTGCGGAACAATATCCCAACCCCTAGATCTGTGGGTGGATAATGTCAATCACCACAATAGTGACTATACGAAAAGTGAAGGAGTGGTTATTTTGATTCACTTCAGTAAATATTCTGTAAAAATAGTCTGTATGTTTACGTAACAAAACTACAACTCCCACAGTCTAGCGTCATGACGTAGTTAGCACCGGTAAAGGGAGAAGAAAAATACAGCCACTTCCGTGTTTACCGTTTGTTCCTTTATTTATTAAAGAACACATAAGAACATCATATGCTTTATATACAAACAAGTGGACATCTGGGGTAGACACATAGATTAATACAAAATACATACAATACATAAATAACGAACAAAACGAAAAAACAACTGTTCTGGTGACTTCCCTACACAACCAAGCATCTTCGCAGCGTGTTGCATTCTGGTAAATGGAGTCAATTAAACTCTAACGTTCGTGATTTCTATCATCTATCAGTCTCTAAGTGTTTAAAAAAAACGTTTTCAATGATAGTGAGTATAATAAAAGTGAAGAAGCGATTATTTTGATTCACTTCTGTAAATATTCTGTAAAAATAGTCTGTGTGTCTACGTAACACAACTACAACTCCCACAGACTAGCGTCATGACGTAGTTATAGCAACGGAAAAGGAAGAACACAGCCGCTTCCGTGTTGTTGTGGTGTTGTTCTGGGTTTCTCTCGTCTCTCATCATGAAGCTCCTGATCCACTGAAGCTTTTTCTCCCCTCCACGTCCCCATCCTTACCGACATGTCCCTGCTCCAGAGCAACAAGAAGAAGGACCGGCGGATCCTCTCCGGCTCGTGCCCGGACCCCAGGTGCGGCGCGCGGCTCTTCTTCCCCTCGGGCTCCGCGAGCATCGAATGCACGGAATGCGGCCAGCGGCACGAGCAGAAACACCTGCTGCGCGTGGAGGAGGTGACGGACCCGGACCTGGTGCTCCACAACCTGCTCAGAAACGCCCTGTTGGGGGTCACCGGGGCCCCGAAGAAAGGCTCCGAGCTGGTGAAGGTGATGGGGCTCTCTAACTACCACTGTAAGCTACTTTCCCCGGTGTTGACCCGTTACGGCATGGATAAACAAACCGGAAGAGCCAAATTGCTGCAGGAAATGAACCAAGGCGAGATGTTTGACTGCTCCCTGCTGGGCGACAGAGCGTTTCTCATAGAACCAGAACATGTGTCCACTATGGGTTATGGAAAAGACAGATCTGGGAGCTTAGTTTACCTCCATGACACTCTGGAGGAGGTGAAGAAGGCCAATGGCAGCATGGAGTGTTTGATCCCGGTCCATGTGGATGGAGACGGGCACTGTCTGGTCCACGCCGTGTCCCGAGCGCTGGTGGGAAGAGAACTGTTCTGGCACGCTCTGAGGGAGAACCTGAAGCAGAACTTCAAGCAGAACCTGGACCGCTACAAGGCGCTTTTTCAGGATTTCATCGACGCCGCAGAGTGGGAAGACATCATCAACGAGTGCGACCCGATGTTCATCCCGCCGGAAGGAGTGCCGCTCGGGCTGAGAAACATCCACATTTTCGGGTTGGCCAACGTTCTGCACCGACCCATAATCCTGCTGGACTCCCTGAGTGGGATGAGGAGCTCCGGGGATTATTCTGCCACCTTTCTACCCGGGTTAATGGCCGAGGAGAAGTGCAGGGGGAAAGACGAGAAGCTCAACAAACCCATCTGTATCGCCTGGAGCAGCTCTGGGAGAAACCATTACATCCCTCTGGTGGGGATAAAAAACACGGTTCTGCCCAGACTGCCGGCTCGTTTGCTCCCCAAAGCGTGGGGCGTCCCTCAGGATCTCATCAGGAAATACATCGAACTGGAGCCGGACGGCAGCTGTGTGATCGGAGGAGATCGTAGTCTTCAAGATAAATACTTGATGCGCCTGGTGAACGCCATGGAGGAAGTGTTCATGGAGAAACACAGCATCCACCCGTCACTCGTGGCCGACGTTCACCAGTACGTGTACAGGCGCACGGGCGTGATAGGCATCCAACCTGAGGAGGTGACGGAGGCGGCGAAAAGGTCCGTGATGGAGAACCGTCTGCATCGATGTTTGATCTGCGGTGCCTTGTCCGAACTCCACGTCCCCCCGGAGTGGCTTCTTCCAGGCGGGAAACTTTACAATCTCGCCAAATCCACTCACGGTCAACTTCGTCCCGATAAGAATTACAGCTTCCCGCTCAACAACGTGGTTTGCTCCTACGACCCCCAGAAAGACGTGCTCATCCCCGATTATAAAATGAGTTCCTTGAATACGTGCAATTGGTGTCACGGTACGTCGGTGCGCCACATCCACGGCGACGGGGCGGTGGTTTATCTGGACGGGGATCGAACCAACACTCGATCCGACGGAGGGAAATGCGGATGCGGATTCAAACACTTCTGGGAGTCCAAAGAGTACGATAATCTCCCCGAGGCTTTCCCCATCACGCTGGAGTGGGGCGGTCGTGTGGTCAGAGAGACGGTTTACTGGTTCCAGTACGAGGTCGAGGCGACGCTGAACAGCAACGTGTACGACGTGGCCATGAAACTCGTCACCAAACACTTCCCGGGGGAGTTTGGCAGCGAGACATTGGTGCAGAAGGTGGTCAACACCATCCTGCATCACACCGCCAAGAAGAACCCGGACGAGTACAACCCGGTGTCCATCGACGGGGCTCACGACCAGCGCCTCACCGACGCTATGGACCAACAGCCGCCAACGAAGATCATCCTGACCGGCCAGGCATCTAGTTTTACTCAAATCTTCCTCAAATTTTACTCTTATTCTACATTTATGTTAACCAAATTTTAATCAAATTTTAATCTAATTTTAACCTAATTTTAATCTAATTTTAACGTAATTTTAATCTAATTTTAATCAAATTTTAATCTAATTTTAACCTAATTTTAATCTAATTTTAATCTAATTTTAATCTAATTTTAATCTAATTTTAATCAAATTTTAATCAAATTTTAATCAAATTTTAATCTAATTTTAACCTAATTTTAATCTAATTTTAATCAAATTTTAATCAAATTTTCCTCTAATTTTCTCCAGAAATCGAAGACGCTGCACAAGGAGGAGCTGACGATGAGCCGGGCGGAGCGCAGCCTCCAGCAGAGCATCAGCGATCAGGCCTTCGTCACGCAGCGGCGCCGGACAGACAAACTGAAGCAGGAGCAGAAGGGGAACCGTCGTTCGTCATCACCTACTGGATCTCCAGAAACATCCTCCTCTTCTTCAGCGCCCGCCACACCCACCAAAACATCCTCCTCCCCCTCCTCCAATGTAAATATATTTTACTATATTTTGTAATGTTATTAAAATAGTTCTCTAAGGTAAGGTAAGGTAATGTAGAGAATTAAATAAAGCTACAAATAGTAAATATGATACTCTAATCAAACCGTATATTAATTTAAAACAGATTACGGTTCAATCTAAAACGGTTTAAGAAAATACGTCTCATTTAAAAACTTGATAAACTGAACCAGGAATTATTATATACTATACATAAGAAATCTTAAATAGATAATACATGAGAGTAACACCTACGTCGCTTCGGGCAAAATTACAGCCTCGCCCACTTTTGGGGGAAAACAACGCTGTCATTTGAACGGCGGTCAATACACATTCTGACGTTTTTGCCAATCCGATCAGAAATGTTTGAAACCCGTGGATTTTCTGATCTTCAAAGAGCCCGGTTACGATGGCCAGTCAGGCAAACTATTACATTCAATCATTGGGAATCGACGATCGGACTCGATATATGGTTCAATTCAAATCAGTAGGCGAGGCCGTAATCTCTCCAGCTGTTACTCTCATGAGCGAGGTGGAAAATAATAGTTTGAACATGCCAACAAGCTGCTGTGTCGTTTATTGCTCCTCAAGCATTAAAACAAATCCAGAGTTCAGTGTTTCTGAACTTCCTCTAAGAAGAAAGGACCGTAACAGAAGAGCTCTGTGGCTTCAGGCTCGATCGCCGTTCAAATGACAGCGTTGGTTTCCCCCAAAAGTGGGCGGGGCCGTAAAGTGACACAGATCGCCTACTGCTATAGTTAACTATATATCGAGCCCGATCGTCGATTTCCAATGATTTAAAGGGGACCTATCATGCAAAATGCACTTTTGTACGTCTTTTCTACATGAATATGTGTCCCCGGTGTTCCAGGGAACTCACCAAGTGTCAGAAAACACAACCCTCTCTATTTTCCTCCATACCCAAATCTCTAAAAAAGGGGCTGCAACGGATCTGATAAAAACTGATCCAGATTTGAACACTGTCCTTACCCAAATTTGACTCTATTTTCACTCTAATTTTACCCAAATTGAACTCAAAATGTACTCTTATGTTCCCTCTAATTTCACTTCAAATATCTGATTAAGGAGAAGAAGATCCGCGTGACGACGAGCGACGGCCGGCAGGCGATGTTGACGCTCCACGCCGTTACCACCTTCTCCGAGCTGCAGAGGAGGATCTCCACGCAGTTCAACGTCCCTCCGTCTCAGCAGCAGTGCATCAGATACGGTTTCCCTCCAAAGGAGCTCCTCCGCCCGCGGGACGGAGAGGAGAACGAGCCCGTGGCGCTGCAGCACGGAGACAGAGTCACGGTGGAGATCCTGAAGGTGTTGGAGGAGGAGCAAGGACCCCCCGCGGTGACTCCCTCCAGCTCTCACTCTGTGCTGCCCTCTGAGAAGAGGAGCGAGGAGACATCGAGCGGCCGGGAGCTGCAGGAGAGCATCGACCTGGAGATGTCCTCCCTCTGCCTCCTCGCCACCTTAATGGGTAAGGTGTGTGTGTGTGTGTGTGTGTGTGTGTGTGTGTGTGTGTGTGTGTGTGTGTGTGTGTGTGTGTGTGTGTGTGTGTGTGTTGTGGGTTGTGTGTATGGTGTGTGTGTGTGATGTGTGTGTGTGTGTGTGTGTTGTGTGTGTGTGTGTGTGTGTGTGTGTGTGTGGTGTGTGTGTGTGTGTGTGTGTGTGTGTGTGTGTGTGTGTGTGTGGTGTGTGTGTGTGTGTGTGTGTGTGTGTGTGTGTGTGTGTGTGTGTGTGTGTGTGTGTGCTGTGTGTGTGTGTGTGTGGTGTGTGTGTGTGTGGTGTTGTGTGTGGTGTGTGTGTGGTGTAGTGTGTGTGTGTGTGTGTGTGTGTGTGTGTGATGTGTGTGTGTGTGGTGTGTGTGTGTGTGTGTGTGTGTGTGTGTGTGTGTGTGTGTGTGTGTGTGTGTGTGTGTGTGTGTGTGTGTGGTGCAGTGATCTGTGAGAAGAGAGCCTTTCCATTGATCTGAATGAGAGATGCACCTCTTACATTTGAACATTTTGTTGAAGAACCGTAGCAGATATCGGTAAGATGTCAACGCGTGAAGCGTCTCAGGACCCTGGCGAGCGTCTCAGTCTGCTTTTTGTGTACTTTCGGGTTAATAATGTGGCATTTTTGGCAGATTTACTAAAGGTGTGCAGCTGCTGCTGTGAGGAAAGATCAGGCTGAATTTACAATGGGCTTTAATGGAGACATGTTGAAAGTTGTTGTCACTTCATGCCCTCAAGAGGCATTTTGTTTAATTTCTTTGCTTAATTTTATTTTATTTTTCATTGTAGGAGAGGTTGTCTTTGAAAAATGAAGTCCAAGGAGTTTAGGGTTTGGGAGTCAAAGCACTCTAGACTTAACGAGCTGCTCCATCCACACTGATGTTAACATCTGAAGAAGGCCTTTCTACCAAGCTCCAGACTACGTTAAATATCTCAAAAAGTGTAAAAGATATCAAAATAAGTTTTATAGCTGAAGGTCTTGTGACCGTTTTAAAGATGGAATAAAGTGTCTAGCTGAAAGTATGTGGAAGAAGTAGCAGTTGGTGCAAGGTGTAGGTAAAAGAGGATTTGAAGGCTCCTCCCATTGACTTCCATGTTCAAAAAAGAGTTTAAAAAGCAGAATATTTCAAAAAGTATAAAATATTTTGCTAAAGTTGAAAGTTTCCCATCATGTGCTGAAAACACTAATAAAGTCAGAAACAAAACACACCCAGGGATTAAGGTGGGGCTGCTCAATTAATCGTATTTTAATCGCAATTACGATTATGGCTTGCAACGATTACGAAAACAACGTAATCGAAATATAACGATAATTTTTTATTATAAATTTTAATTTTTATAATTTTTTTTTTTTCAGTTGAGTTATATTTACAAATCAGGGTAATCAACTGTTACAAACATACTGTTCAACATTTCTTTCTCCAATAAATTGATATTTTCAAAGTAAATGGATAATCGTGATATCAATTATTGACCCAAATAATCGAGATTATGATTTTTGCCATAATCAAGCAGCCCTAGATTAAGATGCGCAGAAAGGCGTTAAATTGTTGGGCTTTATTAGTTTTACAACATTTAATAGATATATCGTTTTAATGACTCGACGAAAACCAATAAATACTGGAGATATTTTGAGGGAATCGACATTTGTGAATGGATATTTAGCCAACATAATTCAGAATACCATTTGACCCCTTCTAGTGTTAGGAGCAGTGAGAGGAACGGTGCCTTGCTCAGGGACACCTCGGTAGCACTTGGTCTTTCTGGGGCTTGAACCGGTCCCCCCTATGGATTTAGGCAACACTTAATTGAATGGTTATTTCCAAATTCTTTTTTTTGTTTTCCAATTAAAGGCCACATTTTATACTTTCGTTTGTTAAAATGGGAATGTTTTGGTGTTTTGAAAGAAAGCAAATACTGGGAAGTAGTAGTAGTGTTTCAATAAAGCTTTAGATACTTAACAAATGAAGTGTTTACAAAAAACACATTTCAGATGCAGACCCAAGGACACGGTACAATTTGTTAAATACTATCAGAGGTTAAAAGCAAATGCACATGATAAAAACACAAGCAGGTGATCATGGAGGAGACAGGTGATTCAGGGGAAACCGAGGATGGTGAGCACTACAGTGAGTAGGCTGATCTGAACAGGTGGGTTTTGAGGAGGGTCTTGAATGTGTCAAACTGTCAGATGTGAAGGGGGTATGGGGTTATTTATTTAATATCTTCACACACTCTTTCTCTGTCTGTGTTTCAGGTGAGGACGTCTGGTCGTACGCTAAGAAGCTGCCGCACTTATTCCAGCAGGGCGGCGTCTTCTACAACATCGTGAAGAAGGACATGGGTACGTTTATAACAGTTAGAAAGGAAGTTGGAAACATGTGGAGCGCTGACACGTGACATTACAAAGCCTTTATCCCCGACTTTAGTCACACGTGGATTAGGCTTATAAATCTAACCCTCCATAAAAGCGTCTTGTGCCCCTTTCACACCGGCGCTTTTCCAGCTCCTGCTGGGAGCTCGAGCCTGAAAAGCGCCGGTTTTTCCTGTTCACACCGCAGCGGCGCGTCATAGCTCCAGAATGCGGTTCACTTCCAGCTCCAAAAAGTTGTCGGTCTAGAGGCAAGAGCTTCGGAGCTATGACGCGGCGTCGCTTACGTCTCTCTTACGTCGAGGCGTGCAGGAAACCTTACTTTGACCATCCGTTCGCTGTTATTGATCATTGTGGAGAGCAGGCAGACGTTTGTTATTATAGCAGCTATCGGATGGAATCAATACATGGGCTGCACAGGTTGTCATGTCCGACTATCACAAGTAGAATCATAATGAAAAATACGCCGGTAAAAAGTGCCTGTAGAAAACGGCTTAGCAAGTAGTCAGTTTAGCTTCGGTTGCTATGCTAACATCACCCATGTTATACCAGAGAAACTTTCATAACAGCGTTGTGATGCCAAACAGCGTCAATTCAGACTGACACACATTCACTTAAGGGGAACTGGGGATATGTATCAGCTGCTTGTGTGACAGTCAGACAGTGAATACTTTAGAGCCGTGTGAGCTAACCCGGAGCTAACGGGAGAATAAACTCGTGTGGAAGAGCAGCAGCACTGCAGCGGTCGCTAAATGAAACACATTAATAAACAATGAACCACGGCACTCTGGAGAAAAGTATAAGGTTGGAGAAGTCGTTATTTCATTTAATCTGGCTTCGTATGATTAAAAGCAACACGACCCGATGCAGTCCCCCCCCGTTGTTGTTGTTGTTGTTGTGAGCTCCGTTGGGGAGCAAATCAGCGACGTAAACTGTGACGTCATGACGCAGCAGCGGCAGCTCTGGGCGGTGTGAACAGAGCGGGAGCTGAAAAGGGAAACGGGAACTGAACCAGAAAAGCTCTCGCTAGGAGCTAGAAAGGGAAAAGCGCTGGTGTGAAAGCCGCAAGAGAGAAGCACTTTTTCTCAAAATCTCAAAATTCTAACTTTTTCCTCAAAATTCTGACTTTTTTCTCAAAAATATAAAAATCTGACTTTTTCTCAAAATGTTGACTTTTTTTCTCAAAATGTTGACTTTTTCTCAAAAGTCTGACTTTTTCTCAACATTTTGACTTTTTTCTCAAAATATAAAAAATCTGACTTTTTCTCAAAATGTTGACTTTTTCTCAAAATTCAGACTTTTTTCTCAAAATTCGGACTTTTTCTTAAAATCTATTTTTTTAAACTTTTTTCTCAAAATGCTGACTTTTTTTCTCAACATTTGGACTTTTTCTCAAAATCTCAACATTTGGACTTTTTCTCAAAATCTCAACATTTTGACTTTTTCTCAAAATCTCAACATTTTGACTTTTTCTCAAAATCTCAACATTTTGACTTTTTCTCAAAATCTCAACATTCTGACTTTTTAGAAAGCACTGGTTCTTACTCACATAATGTTTCAGGCGTTCATTTTGTTGAGGAGGGGGAGCGATAATGTGATGATGTTTGCACAATATGAAAATCGATAGTCGATATGTCTTTTTGGTGTCCAGGGAGCATGCAGGATTAACCCTGATGTGCAACAGGTGCAGGAATTGCATTTTGGCTTCACGCTGTTTCAAAGGAGGAACATTTGGAAAACGTTTTTCAAAATAGTTAATATTTTTGGAGCTGCAGAAATGTCCCGTCTTTGATTCTTCAGACTGAGCTGTCTCTGTTTGTCTATGATCCTTAATGACCCCCCTCCTGTGTGTCCTCAGGCCTGCTGGACGGGAAGCACTGCTCGCTGCCTCACCTGACGGGGAAGACCTTCGTGTTCAACGCGGCGGCGGAGCGTCTGGATCTCTGCGTGGACGCGGCCGGGCACTTCCCCGTCAGCCCGGAGGTGGAGGAGCAGGTGAAGGAGGCGCTGCTGCAGCTGCAGGTGCGCTCCGAGGCCTCCGGGGGCAGCAGAGAGAGCAGGGAGAGTAGCGAGGCGTCCGGCGTGCTGAGGCTCGGAGGAGGAGGCGTGGTGCGGAAAAAAGAGACGTTTCAGAGCCTCAACGCTTTCCAGGGGAGGGGCCACTCTCTAGGTAACTCTTCTGGACTTAAAGGTCCCCTATTATACTGTTCTTCATCAATATATTACAGGTCTCAGATATATACAAAAAGTACCCACATTTACTCAAGTAGAAGTACAGATACTCGTGTTTAAAAATACTCTGGTAGAAGTACTGACTAAACTTCTTCACTCAAGTCAAAGTAAGGAGGCTTTGAAATGTGCTTAAAGGGGACCTATCATGCAAAATGCACTTTGGTACGTCCTTTCTACATGAATATGTGTCCCCGGTGTTCCAGGGAACTCACCAAGTGTCAGAAAACACAACCCTCTCTATTTTCCTCCATACCCAAATCTCTAAAAAAGGGGCTGCAACGGATCTGATAAAAACTGATCCAGATTTGAACACTGTCCTGACGTCAGGACGGTGGCGCTACGGCTATTGGGCCAACTCCACCAATCAGGAGGAGACAGCCACGGCCATTGCCGTTCAAAAGCGCTGGAGACGCTGTAGTACATATGCCAGGCCAGTAGATGGTGCTGTTCTCACTGAATCTGCCCTTGCTAAAACAGAGCTAAAAATGGTCAAATTGAGCGAAATGAGGCATGGCTAAAATGCATGATCTGTTTGGTATTTTGAAAAAAAGTATAAATATGCCTTATATAGGTATGGTCCTACACTATATTATTATAATATAGCATGATAGGTCCACTTTAAGTAAAAAGTACCCATATCTAGCAGCTGTTTTAAAGAGTACCTGACCTCCCTTTATATTAATAGAACAATAATGTCATTGTTAGCTAATGAATGTTTCCATGCTGAACAACGGCAACATGACAACGTTTTCATTGGTCCCTCTTCTTTAGAGAAGACCAGGAAATGATGGATACACGGATCGTGTTCAAATAAAATCATATGCCTGTACAAGCTCTAGCCAATCAAACCGTGTGCTTGTGTGTCCGGGGCAGGAGATTAAAGTGATTGGTTGTTGGTCGCACGCCAGACACGCCCACCGGCAAGCTTCAACGCGACGCTGCCGTGTGGACGCACCGTGAAAACAGATAAAATAGTGCAAGTAAATACAAATAAAATGGAAAATAAAAGAAAGTGCAGAATAGTCTATACAGTAATTGGAATATTGATATATTTGAGTTACAAACAGATGAATGTTCTTGAGATGTGTGTGATGTGTTATGTTCTTATGTTTGTTCCTTTCTATCTATCTATCTAGGAAGCTCCTCCCCTCCGGAGCACCGTCCAATCACGCGGCAGCACAGCAGTGGCGTGGACCTGAGCTCCAGCGTGACACGAGGAGCTCCAGATTTGTCTCAGATCCCAGAGTTGGTGCGCATGGCGCCGGGCTTCGTGAGGATGAAGGAGGGCGGGCGTCCCGACCCGGGTCTGATGGAGCAGCAGCGCCGCCAGCTGCAGGACATGGTGTCCAGCATCCAGGCCTCCATGGAGCGGCACCTGAGGGACGGGAACACCACCAACACCGTCAGGAGGTCAGTTCACAACATTTATCTCCATTTTTCTTGGGTCACCTATTATACAAAATCCTCTTCTTCACGTCTCTTCTACATCAACATGTGTCCCCTCTTCTTCATGTCTCTTCTACATCAACATGTGTCCCCTCTTCTTCATGTCTCTTCTACATCAACATGTGTCCCCTCTTCTTCATGCCTCTTCTTCATCAACATGTGTCCCCTCTTCTTCATGTCTCTTCTACATCACCATGTGTCCCCTCTTCTTCATGTCTCTTCTACATCAACATGTGTCCCCTCTTCTTCATGTCTCTTCTACATCAACATGTGTCCCCTCTTCTTCATGTCTCTTCTACATCAACATGTGTCCCCTCTTCTTCATGCCTCTTCTTCATGTCTCTTCTACATCAACATGTGTCCCCTCTTCTTCATGTCTCTTCTACATCAACATGTGTCCCCTCTTCTTCATGTCTCTTCTACATCAACATGTGTCCCCTCTTCTTCATGTCTCTTCTACATCAACATGTGTCCCCTCTTCTTCATGCCTCTTCTTCATGTCTCTTCTACATCAACATGTGTCCCCTCTTCTTCATGTCTCTTCTACATCAACATGTGTCCCCTCTTCTTCATGTCTCTTCTACATCAACATGTGTCCCCTCTTCTTCATGTCTCTTCTTCATCAACATGTGTCCCCTCTTCTTCATGTCTCTTCTACATCAACATGTGTCCCCTCTTCTTCATGTCTCTTCTACATCAACATGTGTCCCCTCTTCTTCACGTCTCTTCTACATCAACATGTGTCCCCTCTTCTTCATGTCTCTTCTACATCAACATGTGTCCCCTCTTCTTCATGTCTCTTCTACATCAACATGTGTCCCCTCTTCTTCATGTCTCTTCTACATCAACATGTGTCCCCTCTTCTTCATGCCTCTTCTTCATGTCTCTTCTACATCAACATGTGTCCCCTCTTCTTCATGTCTCCTCTACATCAACATGTGTCCCCTCTTCTTCATGTCTCTTCTTCATCAACATGTGTCCCCTCTTCTTCATGTCTCTTCTACATCAACATGTGTCCCCTCTTCTTCATGTCTCTTCTTCATCAACATGTGTCCCCTCTTCTTCATGTCTCTTCTTCATCAACATGTGTCCCCTCTTCTTCATGTCTCTTCTTCATCAACATGTGTCCCCTCTTCTTCATGTCTCTTCTACATCAACATGTGTCCCCTCTTCTTCATGTCTCTTCTACATCAACATGTGTCCCCTCTTCTTCATGTCTCTTCTACATCAACATGTGTCCCCTCTTCCTCATGTCTCTTCTACATCAACATGTGTCCCCTCTTCCTCATGTCTCTTCTTCATCAACATGTGTCCCCTCTTCTTCATGTCTCTTCTACATCAACATGTGTCCCCTCTTCCTCATGTCTCTTCTTCATCAACATGTGTCCCCTCTTCTTCATGTCTCTTCTACATCAACATGTGTCCCCTCTTCTTCATGTCTCTTCTACATCAACATGTGTCCCCTCTTCTTCATGTCTCTTCTACATCAACATGTGTCCCCTCTTCCTCATGTCTCTTCTTCATCAACATGTGTCCCCTCTTCTTCATGTCTCTTCTTCATCAACATGTGTCCCCTCTTCTTCATGTCTCTTCTACATCAACATGTGTCCCCTCTTTTTCATGTCTCTCTTCTACATCAACATGTGTCCCCTCTTCTTCATGTCTCTTCTACATCAACATGTGTCCCCTCTTCCTCATGTCTCTTCTACATCAACATGTGTCCCCCTCTTCCTCATGTCTCTTCTTCATCAACATGTGTCCCCTCTTCTTCATGTCTCTTCTACATCAACATGTGTCCCCTCTTCTTCATGTCTCTTCTACATCAACATGTGTCCCCTCTTCTTCATGTCTCTTCTACATCAACATGTGTCCCCTCTTCCTCATGTCTCTTCTTCATCAACATGTGTCCCCTCTTCTTCATGTCTCTTCTACATCAACATGTGTCCCCTCTTCTTCATGTCTCCTCTACATCAACATGTGTCCCCTCTTCTTCATGTCTCTTCTACATCAACATGTGTCCCCTCTTCTTCATGTCTCTTCTACATCAACATGTGTCCCCTCTTCTTCATGTCTCTTCTACATCAACATGTGTCCCCTCTTCTTCATGTCTCTTCTTCATCAACATGTGTCCCCTTTTCTTCATGTCTCTTCTACATCAACATGTGTCCCCTCTTCTTCATGTCTCTTCTACATCAACATGTGTCCCCTCTTCTTCATGTCTCTTCTACATCAACATGTGTCCCCTCTTCTTCATGTCTCTTCTACATCAACATGTGTCCCCCTCTTCTTCATGTCTCTTCTACATCAACATGTGTCCCCTCTTCTTCATGTCTCTTCTTCATCAACATGTGTCCCCTCTTCTTCATGTCTCTTCTACATCAACATGTGTCCCCTCTTCTTCATGTCTCTTCTACATCAACATGTGTCCCCTCTTCTTCATGTGTTTCTTTAATTTCATGTTGATTTTATTATAGCCAACAACCGACGTCTGCAGAAAAACCAACGTCTGGGGATCAACAAACGTCTGTAAAACAACAACAACAAACGTCTGTAAAACAACAACAAACATCTGTGGAAAAACCTCCGGACGGGAAACCGGACCCCAAGGAGGAACCGGAGCAGATGGAGAGCCAGGAGGCGGGGCCTGATGGTGCCATCGAGCCAATGGATCACTCCTGATCACTTCCTGATCACTTCCTGATCACTCAATCATTCACTCCTTCCCCGCCTCTCGCTCGGGTCGACTGCTTCTTCGTGTTTCCGTCGTCTTCGCTGCGTCATCCTCACTCTGCTGCGACACTAACGGTGTGTGTGTGTGTGTGTGTGTGTGTGTGTGTGTGTGTGTGTGTGTGTGTGTGTGTGTGTGTGTGTGTGTGTGTGTGTGTGTGTGTGTGTGTGTGTGTGTGTGTGTGTGTGTGTGTGTGTGTGTGTGTGTGTGTGTGTGTGTGTGTGTGTGTGTGTGTGTGTGTGTGTGTGTGTGTGTGTGTGTGTGTGTGTGTGTGTGTGTGTGTGTGTGTGTGTGTGTGTGTGGTGTGTGTCCATCGACTCTCTGCCCTTTGCTCCACACCCCCTGGCCCTTCACTTCTCCTCCTCTCTGCTGCGACGGTGTAATTCACCGCATTGCAATATTTTGGCGCCAAATTCACAACGAGATCGGAGGCTTGAGACGCTGCATTCCTGTAGATAGAAAACTCTTATTCTGGTTTTTGGGGGGGGGGGTAATGCAGACATGCTTCCTATAAAGAAACGCCGCCTCGACGCCTTCATCGTCGTCTGAGAAACTGATCCGATCGCTTGATATTTAACGTCTGCAGCTCTGTGCCGCCTGCAGGTCAAATCACTTTGATTTCTTCACATTTTGAAAACCTCAAAAGCGTTTTATTTACAGTTTGAAAACAGAAACGTGAAGCAGGGATATCAGTTTGGGTGTAAACGCTTGAAATGCCAAAGAAATGTGAGGTCATTTAGAGAGAAAAAAGGTTATTTTTTACACTGTAAATAACAAAATAATGTAAAAAAGAATAATACATTTTGGCTGATATGTTGTAATCAGATATTTGAGACAATTCTGGATCACGTAAATTCAAAATGAGCGACACATTTGCCTCTAAAAGCTCCACAAACATGTTGAATGAATGTCCCAATTCTTCCCAAGCAGCCGTACGTTTGATATTTCAGATTCAGAGTTTCATATCGACTGGATGTTCTGAATTTCTAATGTGCGTAAAATCCTCCAAAAACACTTCCATTGGCTTCAGAATGAGGACCCTTTAATCTGATGCTCCCCCAGAATATTAACCCTTCATTAAAACCAACCTGAGAACGTTTCCAGACGATCAGAAACCGGAAGACACGGGAAATGATTATTTATTATTATGGAGAAAAGAAACCTACTTGTACTGTTTTCATTTATTTACATCTTTGTGTTTAGAAAAGGCCCCAAAGGATGCTGGGAAATGGAGTCTTTAAAAAGCATCTAATCGCAGGAGGTAGTGTATAAAGTGATGAGGCCTTCACTGTCAGTAGTTAATGTTGGAACACACACACACACACACACACACACACACAGCATCTGATATTTGGTTTATCCCCCTGACCTTCCCCAAAATGACTGGAAACGGAGGGGAACTGCTAGCATGGCTCCGTGTGACGGTAAAGTTGTGGTTGTACAGGTGTTCTGTGTCAGGTTATAAAAGATATGCTAAGCTAAACACACAAATTAAACACAAGGAATTGTATTTCTTAAAATAACGAACCTTAAAAAAATGGCTAAAAGTCAAAAATGTTTTTCAGGAAATCTGTTCGTTTCACACTTTGAGTTTCACATCGAGGCTTATTTAGTTTGAGATCTCATGTTCGACCCTGTTTTAGTTTCATCTGTTGTGTTTGAAACAGATCTAGAGATGTGAATCGGTTCTTTAACTCTCGGCTCGATGAGGTTTTGCGGTGAGATTGTGCACTTTTGTTCGAGGAAAAGAGGAACGTTAGCGTAGCATGCTAACACTCACAGACAGAGACGTTGGGCGGAAAGGGGGAAAAATGACGACGCTGCTGCAACTTGAAGTTTTTTCTTTGTGCCGTACACTGACATGAAATGTAATCCAGTTGTATAAAAGTATATATTGTAGTATATTGGGACCTGTACAGAAACTGCAGATTCAGTTCCCTCACCTGTGTTTGTTTTTGTTTACTTCTCTCTGGTTTGCTAATAAAGTATCCTTGGTACACGGCTTGGCTGTTTGCATGCGTGATGCATTTTCAACCCGACAATAAAATCACTTCCTTCACTTGTTTTCTGCGTTTCGTCGTCACTGATTTGATCTGTTCGTCTGTTTTAAATAGTAATCACAAGATATATAAGTGTTTGAAGGTTTGTTATTTCTCTAATTTCCCCTCCTCGACTCCTCGGTCCTTGACTTGTCTTTGTTTGTAGATATCTACTAAACTAAAGCAAATAAAGAGAGTAGGCCTGTTATACTGAGTGATATATATTATACACACTGCTCTGCTTTCTGCACGGACCTCACAGCTGTTCTCTCTGGAAACATTGCGTCACGATGAAAGCAGTTAATAAAATAATATCCAGGGGATGCATGCAGAGCTGTCATTGGCTGAGATAAGTCCGGCCGTGCGTCACGACTCTTTGAAACATCTCTGTTCCCGGAAATGCATCCACGGAGGACCGTGGAGGACCGTGGAGGACCCATCAGTGTATCCTCGATGATAGCTCCTCCAGAGAGCCTCCTCGACGCTCAATCCTCGGTCCTCGAAGTGCATTTAAGAGGCTTCTCAATTCTTACATTTCCCCTCCTCGACTCCTCGGTCCTCCGGTAGTGACCCGGAAATGAATTTCAGCGCGCCATGTTGAAGGACATCTCATTTCTCTAAATGCACATCGAGGACCGAGCATCGAGCGTCGAGGAGGCTCTTTGGAGGAGCTATAACCGAGGATACACTGATGGGTCCTCCACGGCTCCTCCGCGGCTCCCAAATCACCCCCTCGACCCTACCCCTCCGTGACGGAGTGAACGCCGTCTGTAGCCACACTCGCAGCTGAATGAAGTTCCCTCCATCAAGGGTTGTTAGAAATTAAAATCAATGTTTAATAGCATAATTAGTCTAAAATATATCGTCAGTTTTAAAAGCTGTTTTATTGTGAAAAAACCCGGAAGTTCTCAAAGTCTCAATGCCAAGCTTTTATTCTGAAAATCCTTCATATCCGGTCAGCATGCCGCTAACAATGTTTTAAACTAACGATTACAGCTGTTTATAAGGTATTAAATAGAAAGTCATGAAAGAGATAAGGAGGAGAAAAGGCTTAAGGAAGTAGGCAGGGAATACAGAATGTTGAAGTCCTCTGTTTTACGCGATGTCGAACATCGAAGACCGAGGAGGACGGGCCCACTATCTGCACAGCGGGAGACAACGAGACGTGGATAAAAAGAGAGGACGGAAGACAACTCACTCTCTTTCCTTCGCTGCAGCTTCCCTGAAGACAACACCGGCGTTGTCTCTCCTTACCCATGCTTGTTCTTTAACCACGTTACTTAATTAAACTACCCATTTGAACCTTTTCAGAGACTCCATTAGTCTCGTTATTTTAAGTTTCTTTCCTGGGAGCGAGAAGATCACGATTTATCAACAGGGTTAAGGGTATAAATACAGCGGCAAGCTTTGGGACAAACTCCCCTCTCTCCGGCAGAAACAGGAAATTCCGTAACTGTATAACAACGGTTTCAAATCAGCATCTCTGACAAAAAATGTGAATTAATAACTCCAAACATCTTTCTTTTTTGTAAAGCTCTTTTAGTTTTAAACCTGATGTTTATAAGCTTCTTAGTTTTTGCAACAGTCTGTAAATATACACAACTTTATAATAAAATGCACACATTTACCTTTTTCTAGACTAAACACAGGTAGATCCTCAGTTAAAAAAATATGAGATTATCATGAGGTTGTTAACATCGCAGTTTATCAGTGGATGTTTGCTAGTGATGTGTCGGTCGCGAACGAGCCGATTCTTTTGAACGGCTCTTTGGTACGAACGAGGGGAACCGAGTCGTACTTGGTGAGAGCCGTTCTTCTTATCGTTCAATCAAAGTTGGTCCGCACTCACTGCCTGCCAAAATTCACTCGCCTTTTAAAAAGCTTGATTTTGTTCCCCAAACGTATTCTGTGAAGACCCGCCCCTACTCTGATTTGTAGGTTTCAGCACGAGGAGTTAGGTGGGGTGGGTCTTAACGGAATACGCGAGAGAGAGAAGTCATAACAAGTGGTACTGGACAGATAGACGACGTGTTTTTCGGATGTAAAATGAGCCAAACGCGAAAACGCAGCAGCATTTGGATGCACTTCAACCAAAACCCAGGCAGTGATAAAGCGCACCATTTGTAAAGGCAAAATATCCTTTAAAGCAGGGTCAACAAATAATCTCCATCGCCACTTAAAAACACACTACTAATATTAAGAGTTGCGTGAATTTCATTCAAGGCAAGGCAACTTTATTTACTTAACACATGCAGAGGGTAAATTCAAAGTACATTCACTGACATGAATGACATGGATATGGCGCCACCTTGTGTCATGTTTACAATGCAGATTATTGACATTAGGTCTGGCAATGCAGTCAATCATTATCCTGGTGATTATTTCGCAGATAAACCTAGTAACCCCGCCCCCTTTTTAAAAAAACGGCTCTTTTGAACGGCTCTTTTGAACGGCTCTTTGAAAGGAACGGAGCCATAAGATCCGGCTCCCTTCAAAGAGCCATAATTCCCATCACTAATGTTTGCTGGAACTACTTGTAAACAGCTTGTTTCCTGACGGACACACACAGCGTGACTCCGGTCAGGTAGAGACCGGTCTCCAGTCAGCACCGCTGCAGACTCGCTGTTTTTTTTTTTTTTTTTTTTTTATTGAACATTTTTTTAAACATACAAAAGCTCGGTGAGGATATCATCAACTTATCAACATAAGTTCAAGACATTCATTCACAATAAGACAAAAAAACATAACTAATACATCCAGTAAGAGCCAGGGGGAAAGAAAAAAGCATAAAGGCTCAAAAACATTTAAGAGGCATTAAGCTTACTTAAAATAATAACCATTTGGAAATGTCATTGTAAATATTTATAGACAGGTTACAAGATTGTATTTTTCTAAGGGACAGAAAAAAGGACTTGAACTCATTTATGAAACAGGGAAAGGAGGGCTTGCCTCCTCTCCATTTACTACAATGTAAATGGTATTTACCCAAAATAATAATTATATTTACCAAATCAGAAATGGGAGAGTCCAAATTATCAATATAATATAAAATGTGATATATTTTGAAGGCCGGAATATTTGTTAATTTAAGTAACAACCAATCTCTCA